CCCTAAATATCCCAGCGACCTGAGAGTTAGGGCTTTCTCGGTTTTCCTTTGCGGGTTCTAGGAGTGTTCTTTAAATAAATGGCTTCTTTATGGGGGTATACAAGGGGGGCTTGTAGGATTTTTACGGGTAAAGGACCCAATAAGGAGTTGCTTGGGCCGCTTGGGTCTAGGATAGTATTGTTATGCAGGTTAGTATTTGGGAGAGTATGATCACGAGGTGCTTGGAGTCCTATGGGTTACTAAACCCCAAAACATTCAACCCTAAACCGGTAAGCTCAAACCTCAACCGAAATTCGAAACCCCAATGTAGGGGGTTAGATATTTACCTACACTATTTTGGGGGTTCCTTATTATAGCTGTAGTACAATTGGCCCCAACACACTCTTCTAATTGAACCGTAAAGCCTCCCAAGTCTTGATTTGAGGCAAGAGGCAGGCACATCTATGTATTCCAGCGCCATGGCGCTAGCCGCTAGTCACGCCAATCTTCTGATTCTTTGTTCTGTTAGAGCCAGAAGGTCCAATATTTTTGGATTCTGCTGCATCCGGTGCGAGATTTCTTGTGTGTACTCACAAGGACATGCTCCGCCTGGGCACCCAACGCACGTCCTCCTCCAGGGTTGGTCCCGTGCGGCCACTGCTGTTGTGACACGGGCGGCCGCATGGTTCCATCGTTTGATCCAAGACAGATCCATCAGCTTGCAAGCTGTACAGGTTTTCACGGCGCTGATAGCGCTTGAAGGTCATTTGTGTGATCTGTGCTTCGGCTGATGGACAAACTCCTGCACTATACTGCGCTACCTTAACTTAACTGTAAACTCTTGGTTGTAGTATGGGATATGCCTTAGCTTGGGTAATGCAGGATTTTGTCCACATGCAGAGACGAAGGCACTCACTTCAATACACGACACCTCAATACACGAACAAGCGTGTTTTTGCAGAGCAGCCTGAGTTGCCTCGAGCTGGCTTACTACAGGGGTCTTAAGAAATAGAATACGCTTTGGGAGAGTACTGTAATGCAGTTTCCTAAACCCTAAACCCTAAACCCCTAAACCGAGTTATGTTGAAAGCAACCCTACGGCTTTCCCAAGGCGAGCCCGATAGAGCGCTTAACCTTACCACTCGCACTGCTCGCCTCGTAGGTGTAGTTAGGGTTTAGGGTTTAGGGTGTAGGTGTAAGGTCTGTGCGGGTTCAGCGGCCCGGCCACTCCCCGTCCCTCCTGTTTTCAGGTTTACTGTTGGCAACACTAATTTCAAGAGCAGTAGATAGCAGCAAAATTCGTAGTAACAGTACTGTAGCAACAGCAACGAAACTAGTAGCAGTAGTAGTAGTAGTAGTAGTAGTAGTAGTAGTAGTAGTAGTAGTAGTACAGCCCTCCTAGAAGCCTTCTCACATCCTGACATAGATATATGAGTTGACGGGCAGATTTTGCTTCTTCGGTATAGTGCAAACCCCTGGCATACTAAGCGACGAACCAATTTTACTATATTGAAACCGGAGGATCCTTATTCTTAGTAGCTGGGTGGGCGCACTTTACACTTTTTAGTATAAGTCCACCCCTTACAAAACTGAAACTGAAAGTGTAGACCTTTTGGGGCTTATGCACTCAGCAACTGAGTATTGAAATCCCTGGACAGGGAAAGGAGGTTATTATTCACCGCTCTAGATTAAGCATGAGTTCAGAGACGAGTAGCAACAGCAGCAGCTCCAAATCTCAATCTCGTTCGTTGTTGACAACCTTAAGGGTCCATGTACCCAAACATTATATACTTTGGCCCCAAAGTACCCGAATGGGGACTACTTTAAGACCAAAGTATATCTATTTAGGTACATGGACCCTTAGGGCAAGGGAGTCCTTCCTTGAATTGTTCAGTGGCAACAGATGCGATGCTGAACCAGATAGATGACTAGGGCTCAGGGTTTAGGGTTTAGGGGCAGCATTGGTTGTCATCATCGTGAGTGCCGCAAGATGCATCACATCTCAACAATCAAGCGAATAGCAAGAGTCGCAACAGTGACAGCGCGAACTGCGTCGACACAACAGGTTGTGTTATACAGCAAGAGGAGTCGCCATCGACACGGTGACAATGCGAGCAAATGGAAATCTAGGCCCACTCATCGTCATCGCAGCAACCACAGATCCTCGGATAATGTCTAAGGACTTTAGGAGAAATCCCTAATAGGGACCCTTAATCCCATTACATTAAATAACCGTTGTATAGTCCTTATATACCCCTTATATAGCCAGGTAGTCTCCGTATTAACCCCAATAACCTACAAGGGTCCCTAGTAAGGGTCCCTCCTAAAGCCCTTAGATAAGTATGAAGAGGATGATGATGGGGCTGGCGCTGGTTTTATGGAGCACTGCTGTGATGATGTTAGAGCTGACGCTTCATACGAAGATGATGCGAGTGATGTTAGGGTTTAGGGTTTAGGGTAACATGGTACTGCTGCAACAGCGGGGCTAGTAATAGCACAGACACTTCCGACAGACAGTTGTAGCGGTTGGACTTATAGCGGGAGTAGCATCAATACGAATTATAGGAGCGATCGCAGTGATGGAATTGCTTGTTGTCGTAGTCAGCGAAAATTTCATTGACAAAATATCCAAGGATGACTAGGGTGTGAACAGCAAGATCACCACTACTGCATCCAACCTCATCAGCAGCAAGCCAACTAGCAACAAGAACAACAATAGCCATATGGGGGTTTCCGAAAATAGGGACCCTAATATAGTACCCTAAAATAGTAGGATCCCTTTTATAAGGACCCCAAAATAAGGTACCCCTAATTTTCTGAAACTCCCATATTGCCAGACTCACAGTTGCTGTGAGAATAGCAACAGCAAGACGACCGGGCACGTGCCCTTAAACCTGGTTTGGACAGTGGCAGAGACCAGGCTCCGGCTGGAACACGAAACCCTGAGGGTCACGGAGTGTCTAGGTTGATTTGCGTCGGAATCTGTTTTAGAGTTAATTCCTTGTGAGGGCATGAAGTGTCACGGGCTTCGACATCGTCCAAAAGACAGCTCGAACTCAGGCTCTTGATGACTTTGTCTGCCCTTTTGCTCTGTATTTGGAGGGCTCGGCCGGGAGGCGTGGTTTGCTGCATGCTGCCGCTTGATTGGACACGTTTCCTTCCTTATTATCTGCAGGCTGGTGTACTAGCTGTATTGCTTTAGAGTGAATGATCACTGTTAGTTCTGACTATTGTATACCCGCAGGGTTCCTATTAATACATATATATATATATATGTCCAAACTCTCCCTAGTTAGTTTCTCAGGCACGCCCGTGACAGTCCCGGAGTGCGGCTCAGAATTGAGATGAAGGGGTCAAGTTGGGACAACCACGTAGAACGACGGATGTTACAAGTTGTTGAGTCAGTCGGCGTCTGCGCTTGACAAAAGCTTCCCGAGCCCAGATGCTGTGCGAAAACACTGCACGGCGGATTTGCCGATCGCAGCCGTGATCGACTTCATTTAATTCTTCGAGCTGGGAAAGAATAAGAAGCAGTGCATCGTCTGCTACAGCGTCTGAGACAGAGGCATTAGACAGCTTTGTGTTCAGTGCAGAACCAAAAAACCCTAAACCCGGAACCCTATAAACCCGGAACCCTATAAACCCGGAACCCTACAAACCCTGAACCCTAAACCCTGAACCCTAAACTCTAAACCCTAACCCTATAAACCCGGAACCCTATAAGCCCTGAGCCCTAAACCCTGAACCCTAAATTCTAAACCCTAAACTCTAAACCCTAAACTCTAAACCCTAAACCCTGAACCCTAAAAACCAGACTGCCTGGAGCAGCTC